ACGAACTCTTATGTCTTCTAATCAAGATATAGGGACATATGTTTCATCAAAACTATATCTCCCAGTTGATTGTATAATTTCTCAATAAGTCTTGATTTGTTTTTTAAAATAGTTTGATTTTCACCAAGTTTATCATGAAAGATTCATTTGGTTCTAATCACTAGATTAGTCTATGATTTGGAAACTATTTCTCAAATATTATTTCTTCCAAACATGTTTAACTCTTATTACATATCAACCTAAAAATGTTCACCATTGAGAGCTTCATTGACGTCCCTTAACTCAATTTGTGAAACAAAAGTCATAAAATTACATACATGGTTTAAATAATGTCGAATAATTATCCTTTTTGAGATGTCTCATATTAAATTTTCTGGTAGGTGATATATTGTAGTTATCCAATATTTAGATAGATCTTGGGGAGGTTGATGTGTTACTTCCTTTTGTATCTTTCTCTTCTAAGAGATTCTTCTCTAAAATACATACACAATCAAACACTTATGCCTCTCCTACAAACTTGGAGTTAGTTTCATCAAAGGTAATGGGTAGGTATTCTTCTATAGTCATATTCCTTTTATTATAAATATGAAAAACTTTACTAGAAGTGCAATATTCAAGAAAAAAACCGTAATCAACTTTAACATCAAATTTATCAAGGTTATCTTTCCGGTTATTAAGGATAACGATTTTATAACCAAAAACATAGATGTGACAAATACTTTACTTCCTTCCTTAATATATTTCATAGAGAGTAAGTTTTAAAAAATAGGCTTATCAAGACTTTATTCGTTGAGCATCGTCATCGCTCTCTCTTCAAGAGATCTATTTTTCCTTTCTAATAACCCATTTTTTTTGGATTTCATGTAACATAAAAGTGTGTTATATACCATTCTCAATACAAAATGTTTAAATTCTTCGTTTTAAAATTCACCTATGTGGTCGCTTTAGATAGATGCAATATTTAGACCTTTTTCATTATGTATAATCTTAACTAATTTTCAAAAGAAAACAAAAATGTTATTTTTTTGAGAAAAGAAAAATGTCTAAGTACAATGAGAATAGTCGTCTACAATTACAAGTGCGTAATAATTACCACAAAAATTAATGGCTAAAGATGAGGCAAAAAAGTCTATGTGCAAAAATTATAAATGCCTATTTTGTAGAAAATGTTTTTAGATTAAAAAAATGTTTCTATTTGTTTATCCTTTTGACACACATTACACAATCGATTATTTTCAAAACATAAATTTAATAGACCAATTACTAATTTCTTACAGACTAATTTTCGTAAATGGTCCATTTGAATATAAAATATTTTCCTATGTCATAGCCATGATTCTTTCTCTTTACTTTTAAAATATACATCATTTGGAGGTAACTTATTAAAATTAATAATATAAGTATGTTCACTTATTAGGCAAGTAAAATAGTTTATTTGTTATTAGATTATACAACCTTACATAAAAAAGAATTAAATGTTATTTTGTTACCTTTATCGTATAATTTACTAATACTAAGTATCCTTTAACCTTCAACCAATAAATCATCGTCAATAGTAGAATCAAAGCTCTTACCAACAGTACTACAACTCATAGTTCAATCTTTGTAACCGTTACCATAAAAAGAAAAAAAATCTCATTTCTTAGGAATATAATAAGATAATATATTTTTGTCTTTAGTTATGTACTTTGAAAAACCACTATCAAAATACCATTTTGATAGCATTTAAAGTGTAAGACTCCATAGCATATTTGCATTACAAATTTAAGTTTTAACCTTTAATGCCTAAATCATTTTAGATCCTTTAATCTATTTCATATTAATTTCATAGTTTTTACTTATAAAATACGAAGATAAGTGCATTTAGGCATGATATGATTAGAGGTCCTATTTGAGTGATACTTTTTTGAAAAGAATTTAGTATTAGTTTAAGGTTGATATTCTATTCCAGCTTTATTATAAGTTTTTCTTTGATTTATCTAAGATAATATCCAAAGCATCTCTCTATTTGATAAATTTACCGAGTGTGTTATATAAATCTTTAATTTTTTTTTAAACTTTGCATTCTACACAATGGATAGATTTATCCATTAAGATATAAGAAGGATTAGAAAGAGAGTTTTAATTAAGGTATCTCGTTATCTTTAAAGAAGTAACATTTCCTCGTTAAGTTTTTCATTTTTATTTTTAAGAGAGGAGATAGTCTTTTTAGAATAGAAACAAGATTCTTTAATCTAATTGATTCATCATTTAATTATTTACAAAGGAAAATAACTCATAATAAGTAAGTTTAAAAGTTAGCTTTTTTATCTCATTTTTTTATGGTTTGTTATGAGAAATATGTTGATTTTATCCTTATTGTTTTCGTCCCAAGCAATGTAAATCTTTTATTATTATTATTATATTATTATTATTATTATTATTATTATCATTATTATTATTATTATTATAATTATTATTATTATTATTATTATTATATTATTATTATTATTAGTATTATTATTATTATTATTATTATTATTATTAT